AGGCTCCGGCTTCGGCTTAGGCTCCGGCTTCGGCTTATGAGGCTTCGTCTTCGTGCGACAGGGCGCCAAGCCTGACAGCAGCTAAAAGCTTTGGAACGCGGAGGCTTTGGCTGGCTTCGAATAGCGGCTCCAACCATTCGCGATGCTTCGGCACAGTTCGTCACTGCACACTGCATAATTGTCAGGCTATGATCGAATGACAATGATCTTGAAACTTTAGCGCCAATAAATGGCTTTATTTGTGTCATTTCGAGAAAAAAAAAGCGGGCTTCAGCTGCCATGCAGATATTTTTAAAAGTGATATTTTGAGTCTGCCTTAAAATACTTTGCGGAGAAAAAATACGATGGGTATTGTATCACATCCAAATTAGATCTTTTTCCTATGAATAAATTTCGACTTTATTTTCATTCCAACCAAAAAAACTTCTTTCCCCCCATTTTTTAAAAGTCTGTCACTTTTTTTTTTTGGGGGGGGGGGTACTTTTATCAATACTGATTGGGCGAGAACCAGCCTAGCCCTACGAGAACGGGAATTATTGTCTGGCAGCCACTAAATCGAAATAGTTAAATAACTAAACTTTGGGTTTTTTTGGTCAATGTCTCTCATTCAAAAGTGAGTAATTTTTTATTGCTTGAAAAATAGCAATCATTACAAAAGGAATCTATTTTTTCGGGATAATATTCGAAAATAACACTGGCAATTTCTTAAAGATTTAGGTTCGATCTATCACTACCTATCCCCACAACAATTTGCTATCTCTGTGTTTCGAGAATAAAACTGCACTTTTTTGCAAAGAATTTGTATCCTTGTATTATTATTGATGGTTTATTTGGCCAGAAGGTTCCACAGTACAGAGTTAAAATTCATGTTACACAGAGCATCAGAATGAACTAGAGATTTGCATTTGTTGTTACAAACGCAGAGTGGTCGGGTAGACAACTATTTTATGAAACACTGTCCAGTTAAGTTATGAATATTTTTATGTAAGAACAAAGGATAACGAAATTAAACCTTTTTCTAGTACAATGAATTATTTTGTTTAAAAAATACATCTTTAAGGCCAAAAAAAAACAATCTCCGGTTTCTGGTATGCGCGCGCGTCGCCGTAGCCATGCGCGTCGGCAAAATGAAAAAGGTTTTTTTTCAATGAAAGATGATGTCTCAAAACCGCCAAACTCACTGGTTTGACTGGAATCCTGCTGCTGCCCAATTTTAACAGGTTTTTTTTAGATGGGGTTACGATCGAGAATAAGCTTTATGTGGCCTCTCTGGTGTCCCATAATATTTGCACTAAGTTTAGTCGGGCACCATTTGCAGCAAAATTTGCAGTCATCAGCCGACATTTGAAGCAAAAATAAAACAGGTTAAAAAAAAAAAAAAGCCGCGTCGCCGCACCACTTTTTGGGCAAGCTCCATACCAGAAACCGGAGACTTTTTTTTTGGCCTAACGGTGTGATAAATTTCAGTAAACATTCTATGTACAAATACAAGTTATTTCTGACTTGATAACATCATTAGTCAAAATGGGAAGTGAATACTGATTTAGTTCGGAGTGGATGTTCATTGTGAAGTTAAATAACATATGAAAATTTGGAAAATATAAGTGTATGTATTCATAACACCGAACGTCCAGTTTGATGACGTCACAGTATTTGGAAGCAAAAGGTGAACATTGTAATGGTATCCTTATTTGGGCTAAGATATACGACATGGATCAAATGATAGAATTAAATTTAAAATACGATCGTTGCAAAATCCTCATAGAAGTAACTTCCGGTCTGATGACGTCATGAATTTGAAACCTTGCCAAGTTATCTGTGTTTAATCAAAGGATATCAAGGGGCGATTTGGTAAAATTTGAACCTATGGTTTCAAAATTAAAGTAAAGAAACATTATTTCATGTGCCGCTAGGGGGCGCCCTTTCGAATGATGACGTCGTCATTCTGTTTTTTGTGTCTAACATTCCTCAACAAACACTTTCATAATATATTTGTCTGTAGTAAAATGCTTCCACTTTTGAATTATATTCAGTTTTTATTGCACTTCTGGTAACACCGGAAGTAAAGGTCAAGCAGTTTTGTGTCCGGGAACTCGAAATGTTACTCACGGCATAGTCTACAACCTCACGAAAAAAACCAACCCGATACTCTATTCAGTTAAAAAAATATAACGCAAACTGTTTTGTCAAAATTTGCCCTTAAATCGCTTGTAACTTGGTACCTGATGAAGTCATGGTGACGTAACAAAATTTATAACATCTTCGTGACATGGTACAAGTTCACACAAGGTTGTGTGACAATACCGTGAACCCTTCGGAAGAAATTTTGCTTTGTTTTGATTTCAGGCTAACGTCTTCATTTTGAATTCACTTAACATTGACCTTCCAGCTAGTAGACCCGGAAGTAAAGGTCAGGCGAGTTTACGTACATGACAAAAAATGTTTAGCAATTAATGGTCTATCTGATTACAGAATACAAACATCATTGATTATATAGTTCAAGAGTTATAGATTAAAGTGATTGGTCACTTTTTCAGATAAAATCACTTGTAATTTTGACACCCGATGACGTAATCAAGACGTCAGAGTAATATGCACCACTTCGAATGAGGGTCTATATATATTCAAAGTTACATGTGGCGCTCATGGGCGTCGCCAGGATTGTTTCTAGAGGGGGGCCAAAAAAAATTTTTGCCAAAAAATGCTTGTATTTCTCAACACATTTTCGATTTATCAGTTTTAGAGGGGGGCAGGGACATTTTGCCCCCCCCCCCCCCAACTCATTAAATTTACACCACTTTGTCTTCGCGCCTCTTTTTCTTTTCTTTTTTTTCTTTTTTTTCTTCCTTTTTTTGGGGTTTTTTGGGGGGGCTTTTCCGGGGGGGGGGGGGGGCAAGTGCCCCCCCCCTTGCCCCCCCCTCGCGACGCCCATGGTGGCGCTATCAATGGATCTCAACATCTTTTACAGGTTAACCACAACAGCCATATATAAAAATTCCCTTTTGTTTTGAATAACATTTGAATGTCGTGTTCTTTATAATTTCAATCCGAGAACAGCTGATCTTAGGATTTGTTCTGGTGAACAGAGTTGCCTGACAAGACCAGAATCTGAAGAGCGTCCTCAGCAGTTCACGTTTAGTTAAACCATTCTCACATGTCACTCATAAATCAGTTCAGCCATATTTGATTAAGTTATGCTTTGTTTGTAGCCAGTTTGGGCGAAAATGTAACCTGTTTTTAAGTATTTACCTTGGATGCAAGAAGATCCAGTGCTCAGTCCTATGTGGAAGAGTCTTGCCAAAGAAGTAAGTGTATTTTTAGTGTCAAGTTAAGAAACTTATGTGCATTTTACTGTGATTGAATATTTACCGAAACATGTGACTGGAAATTAGATGTAGTCGTTTGGTGACCTTCCTGACCGATTGTGTTGCACCTAATTTAGGTTTTAAGAATTCCTGTGTATTCTTTCAGGCCATCCTTACTGTTAAAGATGATTTCAGAGATTGGATAGATGTGTTGGAAATGACTTTTAATAGAGTTTCTTCCCAATAAATTGGGTGTTACCATTTTCAAGGGGCACTAGCTGTCTGAGCACTAGCCCATTTCACTAGTCCGAGTAACTTGGACCCAACTTATCGCCTTTTAACATTCGGACATGGTCTGGCGAAGGGTCCAAGCTAATGGTTATATGCCGAGCAACACAATTCTGTCACTGGCCCAAAAACCAACATTTTCCAACAAAAACATCGGATTTCACCCTCAAAACGGCCTCTAAATTACTAGATACGCCACCTGAGATACAAGTAGACATCGATGATTAAGATAGTCGTACTGAAGTTTACTCACGATCCGGATGAAAAGTGAAATTTCCCGTTCAATTCTGAGAGCTCCCCTCGCGATCGTGAACACGTTAAATTTCCGACTCGTGTTAATGTTTGAACGACGCGATGTGGTCTTCATGCCCAGCGTTCATTCGATGGTCCCCGTATCCCGAGTCCGATTCCGTTACCGAGCACGCACGATGCATCGATTATGATAATGAGTAGACTGGATCACGTTTGTAAACACAAGTGCATTTCGAACGATAAAAGGGAGTCGGGAACTAGCTTGAACGGGTTTCCGCCCACAAAAGCTGCCGCAGTTTTCTGTTCCGCTCCATAGGAAATTGCCTCATACCCCACATTTTCAATAAAAAAATGATCAGTGGTTTTTCTGCCTTTCAAAGCCAGACATAGATAGACTTAAAGCCAGAAGAATGAATTTTTATAATCTGCAACCCCCAGATTTGTGCGACCGTCCGTTCTGAAGATACAAGGAATTTAGTGTAAAAATGGGCTATCTTTGTGGTCATTTCCCCACGTTAAAGCTTGTGTGGACATTTTTTGGTTGAGCAGATGCGCGCTGCTTTTCATTATGATTCGTGGCCGACATCATCACTCATTAAAAAGACACTCAAGACATCACGAAATTCAAAGCTCTCCGGGATGAAGAAGATAACAGATTCTGTGAATTGGTACACCTATAGTCAAGAGGAGTCACAATGTTTTGAAAGAAGTTGGCCATCCTCACGATATGGATAACGACTACATGCTTTCACTGATAGAGAGGAAATGCAGATGACCAAACAGTGTGGTTTCGAGTCCTTCAAGGAGAAAAGAAAGAGGCTATCCTACAAAATCTGATGGAGTGGATGACGTCAGAAATGAAGACGCGCATGAGAGCTATAGCCCCAGTGAAAAACCAGACTTCTGCACGTCACGCAGTAACAGTTAACTACGTCAAGAAGCCCGCTGACCGAAAGTTTCCCCCCAGTTTTAAGTGTTGGCTGTGTGAAACGTCCGAGCATTGGTTGGATCAATTAATGCCCAAAAATCAAGTCCATGAGCCCCGCTGACCGAATGCAGTTGATGAAAACCAACCATGCATGTTTCAGTTGCTTAAAGAAGGCCGGCAGAAACCATAATGCTACGACCTGTTCTCGCAGACGTCAATGCCCAGAGATGATGAATGGCACCCAATGCAAGCTCTTTCATCACCAACTTTTACACCCCACTTCTGCCAGTAACATCAGTCTTGTTGGCGTCGCATCAGTAAGCTACAAAGAAGCAGTGCTGCCCGTTGTTTTGGTTGATATCGGTAACCATGACAACCATCAGCTAGGAAACCTACTGTTTGACTCTGGTGCTCAGATAAGTTTAGTTCGGATGTCACTCGCAGAAAATCTGAAGCTGAACGGAAAGGAAGTTGTAACCACAATCACTAACAAGGTTGGAGGCGAGGAGGAAGAATTACGAACAAAGATATACCAAGTTCGTATCCGCCCACTGAACAAGTCCCAGTTCCATACAGTATTGGCCGTTGGCATTCCCTGCATCTGTGAAGAGTTGGCCGTTGTGAATCTCACAAGCATAGCACAAAACTTCAAAATCCACCCGGTCAGTCTCTATCGAGGAAGCGGCTCTGTTGACCTTCTCCTCAGAATAGACTTATATGCCAAGATGCACTGTGGACAGACAATAGAGGCTGGAAATCTAGTTGCCCGTCAATCACCACTGGGTTGGGTGATTTTCGGAGCAATCCCTGGGGAACCAATGTGAACGAGCCGAGTATTGCATGTGAAGTTGTCGACACCAGTCGACTTAGCGGATTTCTGGACAACTAAAGCAATGGAAGTAAAATCAAACACATGCAGTTGTAAACCACAAAAGATGAGCCCTACTGAGGTGGAGGAAGCTAGAGTCATTGAGCAAAGCTGTACCAAGATTGGCAACCAGTGAATCATGTCATACCCATGGAAACGAGATCCAAATCTACTTCCAAATAATAAAATACAAGCAGAATGAAAACTAGAATCGACAGAACGCTGACTTATGAAGAATGCTGATCATGCCAGTGCCTACGATAAACAGATACAAGAGATGACAGCGATGCAGTTTGCCAGAAAGCTGTCTGAAGAGGAGTTGAAGTCCTACACTGGTCCAATCTACTACATCGCTCACCATGGAGTCCTAAAGCCGGACAGTAAAAGCACCCCACTGCGCATATTGTTCAATACATTTGAACAACTGTAACTGTAATTTTTGTTTATTTATTAATAACTATTTATTTAAAGAATTAAAAATGCAATATTGACTCATTTATTTAGTTAATTAATTAATTAGGCTAACTTACCAACTTGTCTAATTATTTATTTATCTATTAATAGAAGTAGTAGTAGTAGTACATGTAGTAGTGGTAGTAGTTGATTTGTTTATTCATTTAATTTACCAAGTACAAATGTAATTTATTTATTTTTTTTTTTTTTTGCCTTTTGATTTGTTTGTCTTATAATTATATAATTTACCAACTTTGTTCTTGACTTAATGTAACTTTATTTAACTTTTTTTTTGTATAGTTAAAACTTCTTTTTATATTTATTGCTTGTTGTTTTCACGTATGCCATTCAGTTTGGAGAACCCCTAGACAGAAACAACGTTTCTTTTGGGCAATCCTTTGGGAGCTGAATGGTATTTTGTTTTTGTTTGTTTGTTTATGTATCTAAAGCTTTAGTTGTTTTGTGTTGTAACTTTAGTCATTTGTTTACATGTATTTTTTGATATTTTCCCGAGAAATAAAACAGTATAGTATAATACATCTGCGACATATCAAGGGCATCGTTTAAACGACTACTGGATGAAAGGGCCCGACCTACTGAACAACTTATCTGTTTGGGGTGATCCTGAGATTTCAAGAGAATGAAGTAGCTGTCATCAGTGACATCTCAAAAATGTACCACAGAATTCTAATACCCGAGAGAGATCAACATGTTGAGCGGTTCCTGTGGAGAGACATGAAGACAGACCAAAAGCCAGATGTCTACGTCAAAATCGTCCTCACATTCAGAGACAAACTTGCACCGGCTATGGCACAAACAGCATTGAGAAAAACAGCTGAAGACGGAAAATATAAGTTTCAAGAGGCGGCACGGATGTTGGAAGAGAACACCTATATGGATGATATCTGTGATTCTGTCCCCACAATGGAAGACGTACACAAGTTGACAAGTGCCCTCGACATCATCCTAAGCAAGGGAGGATTTAAGGTGAAAGAGTGGCTGTCCAACAAGCCACTAACAGGAGACCCTGCTAACCATGATCGCCATGAGCTGAAACCCAATCAGGACCCGACACAAGAGAAAGTTTTAGGGGCAGTTTGGAACCCTAAAGACGATGACATGTCCTACAAAGCTACCCTGGACTTAGACAAAGTCTACAGAAGCTGGAGGACCCAAGATAAAACTCACGAAACAAAGTGTCCTGAGTCAAGTTGCCAGATTTTGTGACCCGATTGGATTTGCTGCACCATTCCTAATACGAGCAAAATTTGGTATGCAGAGACTTTGGCAAAGATAAAACTCACAAAACAAAGTATCCTGAGTCAAGTTGCCAGATTTTGTGACCCGATTGGATTTGCTGCACCATTCCTAATACGAGCAAAATTTGGTATGCAGAGACTTTGGCAAAGGGGACTCGACTGGGATCAAGAACTTTCATTGGCCGAGCAAACCTTGTGGATCCAACTGTTTGAAGAGATGGAGGAGCTAAATGACGTGCATTTCCAGAGATCACTCACCCCCTTTGAGGCCATCAGAAATCCAACACTCTGTATTTTCCCAGACGCATCAGAAGATGCCTTTGGTGCTTGTGCTTACGCTAGATGGATGCGGAGTATAGATACGATGTCCGATTCGTCGCTGCCAAGTCAAGAGTTGCACCCTTGAAAAAACTGACCATACCCCGCCTTTAGCTACAAGTAGCAGTAGTTGCTGCCTGTCTGTACACGACCGGACTTCAGATAGACAAGACAGACAAGACAATCTTTCTTTCTGACAGCATGATTGCAATGGCGTGGATACGTAGCACAGCACGAGGTTTTAAGCCATTCGGATTTGATGGCCGATGATGTGTCTCGTGGCGTATCCGTCAAGCGACTGTCCGAGCGATGGCAACATGGGCCAGACTTCCTGTGTCTACCCGAAGAGAACTGGCCCCAAGATGCTTCCATCGTAGACCAATCTGAAGTAGAAAGAGAACAACGAAAGACAGAAAATGTCTTCTTGACACAGATGAGACCAGAGGTCATTGATTGCAGCAAGTTTTTTCCTGGAGAAAGCTGATCAGAGTGACAGCCTACACTCTGAGATTTGTCTGGAACTTGCGTGCTAAACGACAAAAATGGAACGAGAGCCAAAGATCTTGATATTGGATCAAGAATGCACAGAAGAGCCTCCATGACCGCCTCGCCAAGGGGGAATCCAAGACACTGAGTCCATTCATGGAAGCAGATGGAGTAATGAGGGTAGGAGGTCGAGGAAAGGAATCCTGAATGTCGTATGAATCGAAGCATCCAGCCCTTCTGCCAAACAACCACCACATATCACGTCTGATCATGCGTCACATGCACCAGTATGGGCATACTGGTGTCGCAACCACAGTAGCAAGGACAAGACGATTGTACTGGATCCTGAAAGCCCACACCCTTGCCAAGACGGTGAAGTTCAGGTGTGCAGTCTGCAGAGAAACAGACCACAAGGTGGAATCACAAATCATGGCAGACTTGCCGAAGCAGAGATTGGCACCATACACACCACCGTTTCATTTCACGTCATGTGACTACTTCAGGCCGTACCAGGTGAAGATCGGGCGCTACAAGACCTCCAAACACTATGGAGTTCTCTTCACATGCCTAAACACGAGGGCAGTCCACCTGGAGCTAGCTGTTGACTATTCCACCATGGAGTAGCCTACATGCAAGTTCTGCGCAGATTCTTTTTCATCCAAGGTTATCCGGCACTAATGATAAGTGACAATGGCACACAGCTTGTAGGAGCTGAGCGAGAGCTTTGCGAGATGATAAAGGGGTTGAATGCCAAAGAACTTCAGCAGTTCTGCGCAGAAAAATAGATGGAGTGGAAATTCATCTCACTGGCAGCCCCACACCAGAATGGCTGCGCTGAGGCACTCGTGAAAAGTATGCATTGAAACACGCAGTTGGAGCCCAAGTGCTAACACCCTTTGAGCTCTACACAGTTCTGCTTGAAGTGGCCAATCTCATCAATCAGCGACCAATTGGAAGAATCCTGAACGACCCAGAGGATGGCGCTTACCTCTGCCCAAACGAAACGACATCCTGCTTGGAAGGCCAGGTCTTCCTCTGAGGTACCCCAAGGTCCGTTTCGAAATACGAAGAATCAAAGGCACCGAGTAGAGTTTATACAGAAGATCGTGGATTCGTTCCGGCGACGTTGGATCCAAGACGTGCTACCACTATTGGTCCTGCGCAAGAAGTGGCAGACAGAGAGGCGTAATGTTCGAGTGAACGACATCGTGAAGCTGACCAGAACACCATCCGCAGCAAGTGGGACATCGCCAGAATCTTGGAAGTCTACCCGGGACCAGATGGGCGAGTTCGGAGCATCAAAGTACGTACACCTGCTTGACAGTGTGTCCGACCTATCACCAAAGTAGCGGTTCTCTATCCTGCAGAGGGATAGGGAGATGAGCACTAGGGCGGGGCGGAGGATGGTCTGGTGAACAGAGTTGCCTGACAAGACCGGAATCTGAAGAGCGCCCTCAACAGTTCACGTTTAGTTAGTCCATTCTCACATCTCACTCATAAATCAGTTCGGCCATGTTTGATTAAGTTATGCTTTGTTTGTAGCCAGTTTGGGCGAAAATGTAACCTGTTTTTAAGTATTTACCTTGGATGCAAGAAGATCCAGTGCTCAGTCCTATGTGGAAGAATCTTGCCAAAGAAGTAAGTGTATTTTTAGTGTCAAGTTAAGAAACTTATGTGCATTTTACTGTGATTGAATATTTACCGGAACATGTGACTGGAAATTAGATGTAGTCGTTTGGTGACCTTCCTGACCGATTGTATTGCACCGAATTTAGGTTTTAAGAATTCCTGTGTTTTCTTTCAGGCCATCATTACTGTTGAAGATGATTTCAGAGATTGGATAGATGTGTTGGAAATGACTTTTAATAGAGTTTCTTCCCAATAAATTGGGTGTTACCATTTTAAAGGGGCACTGTCTGAGCACTGTTCATTTAACATATTTTCAAGATAGCATACTTAACGTTGTATTCTATGTTTGTTGTTGTTTACAGATCAAATAAAAAACCAAGTTATACAATATGCAAGATCTCTTCTGACTCCGAGTTGTTAACACTTCGACGATCCAGGATTATCACCTGAATGTGTTTCAAATTTACAAATTAATCTTTTGCAGATTGTTATCCAGCCTTCCATACCTACTGAAAATAATGAACGAGTCTTCAAAAATTGGTTACTTTGACTGGTCAAGCGATGTTGCTGCATATGCATAGTGATGATGTTGCATAATGCATTGATGAATACATGCGCGCACAAACGAGGGGGGTGTTGATGGCAGATTGATCAAGTCGGAATTGCCAATTTTTGCACCACATGTATGCATGTATGCTCTGTACATGCACACACACATGTACATGTACCCGCGTGAACGATGTACATAAGTGTCTGCGCATTGTTATACGGCACTAAAATGAAACGCATGCTGAAGTGTACCTTGTCGTGC